ACACATCCCTGAAATATAAAAAGAGGCCCAGACAGTTTGACAAGCAAATTCTATTTAATTCTCAAGGAACAGAAAATCCTGTTCGTAAAACTTCATATAGAGCAAAGAAAGAAGCCAAGCCATTAAGTTTAATTTTGAAAACAAAAAACAGGTAAAAAATATTGGCCAACTTGACTCATGACATTGAAAAACCCAGAGAATTCAAATTTAGCAAGTTATTAAAAAATAGTACATTGTGACTAAGTTGAATTAATCATAAAAGTGAAAGGATGTTTCACTGTTTAAAAAAATCTTTCACTGTAATTTACCACATTAATGGCAAAGAATGAGAGATTGGGTGATCAATGATAAAGAAAAAGCATTTAATAAAGTTAAGTTTTTTTTTCCAGATGAAATCAACTCTTTTGAGCAAACTTGAAATAGGGAATTTTTTAGCTTTTTAAAGGCTTTCTCCTAAAAACCTATTGCAGATGTCATTTTTAATGGAGAAAACAAAACTTGAAACTCATTCCTGTTAAGATTGGGAGCAAGACAAGAATGCCTGTGTTGCTTCTACTTACCAACGTATTACCAGATACCTGACCAATGCAGTAAGACAAATACAAGTAGAATAAGTGAAATGAAATATATAATTATTATTTCTAAGTAAAATCATTTATATAGAAAACCAAAGAGAATCAGCTGAAACTATTAACAGCAATAAAAGAGTTCATCTAGGTTGCCAGCTTATAAGAACAACATAAAAAAATCAATAGCTTTTGTCTGTATTGGGAGTAACCAATTATAAACTATGATGATGATAGGATACCATTTACAATACTGACATAAACTAAAAGCTATCTAGGAATAAATCTAAGAAAGAATTCATAAAACATATAAGGGAAATTTAAAACCCTATTACAAGAGTTTTATTTTAGTATTATAGAGCATAAATGTAGCATTTATAAATGGATTGGTTGAATATTGTGAAGATGTCATATTTAGCCCATTAAAATTTAAATTCAGTGCAATTCTAATCAATGCCTGAGCAAGAGTCTTTTTGAAGGGGTGTAGTTGAATCTAAAATTTATTTGAGAGAATAAATAAAGAAGCACCTTCTCTTTACAAAGCATGAACATTATACAGCAGGAGTTGGCAAACTACAGTCCACAAACCAAATCCAGGCTGCTGCCTCTTCTTACAAATAAAGTTTTATTGGGACACAGACACATCCATTCCTTTATTTATTGTCTATGGTTGCTTTCATACTTCCATGATAGGGTTGAGTAGTTACAACAGACTGAATCTGACCCTTTAGAGAAAAAAAAATTGTCTCCCCTTGTTCTCCAGCATCTAGCACAGAAACAGAATATAATAAAGTCCAGACTCACCCCTGTGTACATATGGGAACTCAGTGTTATCATTCACCCCTGTGTACATATGGGAACTCAGTGTTATCATTCCCAGCAATTGGTGCTAGGAAATTTGGCTCACAAGAGGAGAAAAATGAAACCATTTCTGTACTTCATACCATAAACAAAGCTCCAAGTAGATTAAATACCTAACTGTTAAGAATGAAAATATTTATAAAGCTGATAGATGAAAATTTAAGAATACATTTTTTTTTTTTTGGCGGTACGTGGGCCTCTCACTGTTGTGGCCTCTCCCGTTGCGGAGCACAGGCTCCGGACGCACAGGCTCCAGACGTGCAGGCTCAGTGGCCATGGCTCACGGGCCCATCCGCTCCGCAGCATGTGGGATCTTCCCGGACCGGGGCACAAACCCGCATCCCCTGCATTGGCAGGTGGACTCTCAACCACTGCGCCACCAGGGAAGCCCAAGAATACATTTTTGTAACCTTATGGTAGAGAAGTGTTTGTTTCACAATATTCACAGAGAACAAACCATAAAAAAAATTGAATACATCAAGATGAATGCTTTTTGTCCAATGGAGTGTACGATAGAAAAACTAACAGATGGTGAAAATACAACTGTCATGTTTAATAGACCAAGATCAATATTTAAATATATAAGGGACTCCAGAAAAATCCAAAAATAGGAGGGAAGAAACCAATACAAAAGAGGGCAAAGTACGAATTGGCGATTCATAGAAGGAGAAACATGCACATACACATATCACATTGGAGACAAGCTAATTAAAAATAAAAGATGCCTTTTGCCTATCAATAAACCTTGGAAATCAGATACTGCCAAGTGTTGGCAAAGATGTGGGAAAATAGAAATCTGCATATATTGCTTCAAGGATTGCAAAATGGTGCATATTTTTAAAAATCTAAGTACGTATCAATACCTAAGGTAAAACCCAATAATAGGACTCTAGCTTAGACACCCAGGGAAATACATGTAAGTATGGTCATTAGTGTTATTTGTGGTGAAAGACTGGAGAAAGCTAGTTCTTCAGTACTAAAAGAATGGACAAGAAAAATGACAGTGGAATGCAGTGAGAGAATAAGCAGTGAGAAAGAGTAAATTACATCTGTTTATAACAACATGAATGAGTCTGTAAAACAGTGTTGAGAGAAAAAGGCAGAATGAGTTTTAAAGCACAATACAACTTCTGTACAAATTTAAAAAGTACGTACAAGAGCCCTATATATGTTTGATGTATAAAATATTTATAAAACTGCCGTGAAGCTTATAAATACATTAATTATATTTAAAAAAATGAAGCCCTGTCGTGGGAGAGGAAGGAACGAGTTTGGGCATAGAGGAAGAAATGAAAATGATGATAAGAAGAAAAATGAAATCTAGAGGAGAGCCTTTCATGGCCTCATAGTAGTAGCTCATCAGCTAGAGCCTATGCTTAAGTCAACTCTGTACAATTATCTGTTAGAGGAAACAAACTCCAGGGGCATATAACCCTTCCAGCACTGTTAGATCCAGGTGCTCAAACAGTGTCGTCAGGTATGGGTCTCTGTGTATCTTGGCTTTCCTAGCCTCCGTGTTGGCTCTAATATCAGACAGCCTCTTGTTGGTATATCCTCTAGCTCTTCCAGGTTCATGTCCTACCAGTTTGGCATCTTAGAAGAAAGAAAGCCCTTTCCCCATAGTATCAGCAGTAATCCTTCCATGGATATCCTTCCTTTGATTGGCTCGTTTTTTGTCCTGTGTTCACTCCTGAATCACTCATGTGACAAAAGACTACTGATGCCTGGGTCACTTTCCCATCCCTAGAACCAGGCAGTAGGAGTGGCCCAACGTATGGAATATGGTGGGGTATTACCCACGGAAAAATTAGGGTGGTATGGCCAAAACTACAGAAAATGGATGCTGGGCAGGCAAAAAAAAAACCAAAAAAACCCCACACAAATAGCTTTAGGGCACTTGAATCAATGCTGTTTGTAGGATGATTGAAATGAATTGCATGTTTATTCTAGAAAAACTGGAGGGAATAAATAAAGGTTAAATTCAGATATCTAAAGCACTTTCACTTGCATGATACTTGTTTCATAGAACCCTCAAGGCATAAATCCATCACAAAAAGATGGACTTAGTATGGAGGGCAACCTATAACTGCTGGAGCTGATAATCTTGGAAGGAATGGATAGTGAATGTCCTGTCACTGAGTATGTTCAAGCCTGGGCTAACCAGCTACCAGGCAAAGATTCTGCAGGAAAGGATTGGGAGAATAGTTGGGTTTGATCAGTGGTTCTGAATCATCCAGGCAGATTAAAGCATAGATTTCTGGGCCCTTCTCCCAGAGTTTCTGGTTTGATAGGTTTGGAGTAGGACTCAAGAATTTGCCTTTCTGATTTCCCCAGGTGATGTTGATGCTACTGCTCCAGGGAACACACCTTGAAAACCACTGGGTTAGATGATTTTCAACGTCCTTACTGACCTTTCTTTTTTGTGAGATGGTTGTAATTGTTCTAGAAACCAGTATTTGTGTCACTGAGGCAAAACTTCCATACTATTCCTTTGTACCTGAAATGTGTTAAGTTCCGGCTATTTGAGTGCTTCTAAAGTAGATGAATTTTGCATAGCCCTCTATCTTTTGGGTCATTGAGAATATTAGCATCATTAAACAATTGCACATTTATTGGTATGCTTTATAAAATGGTTCTCCATTTTCTGATGTCATCCTTTTTGTAGTCTTATTTCTATTTTCCCATGAGGGGTTCGATTTTCATCAGTTTTGTAGTAGGATGGTTCCTGAATTAGAAAAATGAAGTGATTTCCCAAGGAAGGTGCGTTTTAGTCATTCAGAAAGTAACGTTGTCATGTATAGGCACTGACTGATGGAAAATCATTCCTTGGTAACCTAGATGCCAAGTGTCAAATCTTGCTTTTCCCCTGTCTTCTCCCCACTACCTCAACCCATGGCTTTCTCCAGAAAAGAGGATATGCAACATTTCACATACCTTGCTGCATAATACATCTGCATCAACCAGGAATTGTTTTCATCTTGAACTCTATTTTGTCCCTTCTTTTTCCTTAATTTTTTTCGCTTTAAGTTTTGAAATTTTACTGTAATTCTCTGGGAGTACCCCACATGCTTTTGTAATTAGACACAAGGTCAAACAGTGTTTATACTTTTTCTAAATTGCTTTTGTATAAACAAAGATAAAACCATTTGAGAAAAGGGAGTCCCCACAGGTACCTATTTAAGAATGAGAAGGTTTATAGTCAATGCTTAACCATAAAAATTTTCAGCTTAGCGAAGATGATGAAACAGATGGTTAAAAATAGTACCTGACAGATTGGACCTAGTGGATTTGGGTTAAGGTGGCTCCCCGAAGTGCAGAGGGGTTTAAGAAGACACATACAAGTTTTTGCTTGAAAACTGTAAATCCAACCAGCATAGAGAGAGTGGAATATTTTAGGAGGACTTACCCAGAATGCATCTTAGTGGACATTAAATGGGGAACAGCTTTAATGATGTCTTCTTTACAACTAAGAATCTGTAGTAATGGACTTTGTTTTCTTTAAAGTGGTATATGCGCTGAGTTTCTCAACTGAATTTTATAAATGTCCATTTTCTATATCATCTTCTCTTCCAGAATTCAAACCGTGAGGAAATGTCATTCAGATTCGGCCAACATCTCATCAAGCCCTCTGTGGTGTTTCTCAAAACAGAACTGTCCTTCGCCCTGGTGAACAGGAAACCTGTGGTACCTGGACGTATCCTTTTTTTTAAAGAGAAAAATTAGAAAGCCTCTGATTCTAACAGACCAAGTAAATACAGGATTGACCTCGAGGATCTGTCCGAAAAGCTAAGCAAAGATCGTCCCCGCTCCCGCTTTGGAGGAACCAGGTAAGATGTTATTCACATTTATTCTGAATCCAGTTGGTGGCACCAGTAATATGCTTGATCACTGTTGCAGAACTTCTGAAAAGAGTTGCTTAGCAACCGTGGCTTTGGAGGTGATTTTTTGCTTGACCTTTTCACTATGGTAGCTGTGTAAATAAATAGGTGCTTCTAAAATGGACCCAATGAATATCCTGAGCACTTTGTTTTCAGTTATCAATTGGGAATTTTAATAGTAAGGTAGAGATTGGGTGGCCCTCTTGTGATGTGGAAGTAAGGTTATGTGAAGATTATGTGAAGATTTGAGACTGACTTGGTTTGCTTACCTCTTGGAGATCATTCAAGCTATGAATTTTAATTAAATTCAAACACAAAAGTATACTTACAAAATATTTTTTTCACGTTAGGGTCTGAGATGGCATTTTCTCTTGGAAAACATCCCAGCTTCTAGATTGTTGCCCAGTGTCATTGGTGGTAGTGTATTTTATTTCCATTGACCATCAGTTTCAGTAGAAGCTTCGTTCTTTGCAGTGGGAGAAGCAGGATTTGGTGAAATGCTCTGGAGAGTTATTTTTATGTTACTGAAATTATCCCTCGTGACTGTATGCATATGACATTTGTATTGATTCCTCAGAATTTTTTTTTTCTCTTTCCCCCCTAATTTAATTTACTATGCAGAGGGCAACAAAGTATAAAATTTCATATTCGAAGATAATGATCATGTCCACATTGAGGCATGATTCTACTTTGAAATAGATTTCTCAGTTATTCTGAATCTACAAATGTGTCAAAATTTTTTCTAGTGTAAGTTATATTTTTTCCGATGGGATTTTTCAAAATGCTTGAAAACTTTATGAATAATCTTCTTTCTTGGCCACGTAACTATTGTACACTGAAAAAAATACAGCTAACAAAACATGCACCAAAAGGTAACTGTGATTTCTGTGGTAGACTCTCAAATTCCTTGAATGGAAATTTTAACCTAAATTTTGTAAATCTACAAAACTAATGATGATAGCAATAAACTAGTAAATAATATATACATTTTTCTTGATAATACTTAACTCTTAAGTTTATAAAAATATTTAAAATTATAAGTATACAAGATTAGAAAATTACATTCTTCTGTTTATTGAAGTAAAAAAACTAGAATGATTTAGAAAGGATAAAAAACAACAATTTTTAAGTTGTATACCAATTTTATATTGAGTTTTTCTAAAAGACTTTGAAGTTCTTGAAATAACAGAATAATTTTATTTTCTCATTTGATATTGTTGCAAGTTTGTGGTTGCCGTTTTCCTTTGAGGAATATTTTTTTAAGCAAAATGTCTGAGAATTCCAGTGTTGAAAGAATATTGTTTAAATGCCATCTCTCGTTGGGTGCCATTTTTAATTGACTTTTGTCGGAGAACTGAGGGAACTTGGGATGAAAATGTGAATTGAGATGAACAAATCTTAATGCCTTGGACTGAAAGAACATGAAGTTGCAGAGTTGCACTTTTAAAAAAATGGTTAATAATGGAATGAACGTTGCTTTGTGATTTTTTAACTTGTTTCTTGATAGTACGAAACTTGATTTTTCATGGTCTTTTTAACCAACTCTGAAAGTGTGATGCATAGACGGGTCATATATGTGTTTGAACTCAAGTAAAGTTGAGGTGTCTACTTCAAGGAAAATGTTCATAGTGAACAGTTAGTGAATAACGACTAGTTTTGTTTCAGACGGCACTGGGATTGTCATTTTGGAAATGAGTCCTGGTCAGTCACCATCTCTTGAGTAAATGTCAAGGACAAGGGGAACATTGTATTAAATGTTTGGAAGTGTGTTTGGAAGGTAGCAAGAAGGACCCGGCCCTTTCTGGGGATGAGAGCAGTGAGAACTGGAACTTTTTTGTAATCAGTATAGTCTGTAAAGCTGTTTTACATCTACAGTGTTTAAAGTGGTTTCAGGGCATGACCCAGCAATCCCACTCCTGGGCATATACCCAGAGAAAACCATAATTCAAATAGACACATGCACCCGAATATTCATTGCAGCACTATTTACAATAGCCAAGTCATGGAAGCAACCTAAATGCCCATCGACAGATGAATGGATAAAGATGTGGTACCTATATACAATGGAATATTAGCCATAAAAAGGAATGAAACTGGGTCATTTGTAGAGATGTGGATGGACCTAGAGACTGTCATACAGAGTGAAGTAAGTCAGAAAGAGAAAAACAAATATCATATATTAATGCGTATATGTGGAATCTAGAAAAACAGTACAGATGAACTGGTTTACAAGGCAGAAATAGAGACACAGATGTAGAGAACAAACGTATGGACACCAAGGTGGGAAAGCAGGGGGCGGGGTGGTGGGATGAACTGGGAGATTGGGATTGACATATATGACATATATACACTAATATGTATAAAATAGATAACTAATAAGAACCTGCTGTATAAAAAATAAAATAAAAAAAGTGGTTTCAGGGCCAGTGGATAATGGATTCAGGCAATCCTTTTTATATGATGATTCTGAAACTTTATATTTTACTTTACCTTGGTACTCTGTTAGGTGACACCTGTGAGAAGAATCTTAATAAGTTACTCATTTGCTTGCAGAAAGCGATATTCTTTTGTCCCGAGATTTGGGAATTGAAGCTGTGGATGGCTCTGCCCACTAATGTTTCATAAAATAAATGGGGAGATGGCTGCAGTGGGCTTTAATCCCCGAGTGCTCTAACCCTACCTGCCCTAGGTAAGCCCCTTGCTGTGGGTCTTCTAGGTCATCTAGCTTCTTGTACCATCTCTACCCCTGGACTTCCCCAGCCCAGCCTACACCTCACTCTAAACCACAGCTCCGATGCTACCACTCTCCTGTTCTTTTGCAAACAAACCACTGATGAATATAATGAATCTCCTTTTATTTGAGGATAAAGTCCAAATTCCTTAGCATCCTTTTAAAAGATTTTCATTATCTTGACTTAACCTCCCCACTTTCCAACTATTTCCTTAAACAAGTGTTGTATTTCCCTTTACTTGTTTTTTTCCCCATCCTTTACCCTGCCTCTCTCTCCACCTTGAGATCCTTCCCATCCTTTTCATTTCAGCTAAAGTGCATGGATACCTGTTCTGCCCTCTTAGGAAAAAAATATTCCATCCTTTGTGTGACACTTGGTTCCTTATTGTCATGTTGATTCATTCAACAGTTTATTACTGAGCTACTCTGTTCCAGGCATCATGCCAAACACTGATCCCAGTCTGCATCAGACCAGAAATGTGTTCATTTCTGTCTGTCTCTGCACTGAATCGTTAGTTCCTGAGAAGGGGTGGGGGCAAAACTTACTCTTTGCACGTTCTCGCTTTCTTAGTACCCAAAAGTATTATGTTGGCTGAATTTAAAGTGAATCTGTAAACATGAGGAGCATGTGGATAGTTTCAGTTAAGACTGAAATCCTGCTTTTTCAGTCTTCCCATGCACAAAGCCCTGTCTTGTCACCATTTTATTCCAGATTTTTTAGTATCTTATTCAAGCTGTATTTTCCCAACTTTCCCTACATGCTCTGTCAGTTACAGTCCTGTTTACTTTTCTGTTATGAGTGTGCTGAGTTAAGTCTAAATGCAGTGAATGGGAAAAGATTCTTTTCCATTTTTTTTCTTTTTTAGCGTGTTAATTGGCCAATGGACAAGTCTGTATTTTAAGGGCAGTATATTGCTATCTTATGTGAACCGGAAAATTGTATTTTGTATTTTTGATGATCTCTTTTTAACAAGAGTATTCAGGTGGCCTTTGGGGAGTGTGCCATTCAAGAGAGACTTGTAAATGTCATCTTTGAACTTGTGTTCTCTCTAACATTTTGCTCCCCCCTCTTCTACCCTTTTTTTCTTTTGACTTTGCTCACTGACTTTTTTATATCTTTCTGAGGAGGAAAAAAACTGTAAGATCAGGGACTGCAGATATGTTTTTGAAGCAAGACTATTTGCTTCATTCTCAAAAGAGCCACAACCCCTCCTTGTCCCCACCTAAAGCAAACACTCCTGCTCATTGCAAACAGTGTTTAAAGCCTATTGAATAGGCGTTGGCTTCTGTGGTACAACACCGTGGAAGCATATGTCAGAATGTCTTTAATCCATTAATTTCTTGTTACTGGAAAATGCTTTACAGCGAGTCTTGGTGAGAGAACAGAAGCATTTTGGAGATTGCATCTTCAGAATTCGGCGGCGAACGTTTTATTCATGTACCTTGGTGCAGCCCAGCTATTGTTTGTGGCTTGAAAAAATTTGAGCCAATATAGTTAATACTTCACTCCCCTCCCCTTGCATCGGGCTGTGTCTACCTCTCTTCTTGAGTTCAGCATGAAAAATGAATTTGAACATTAGTGGAATCCATTTGGGGACTGGAGCTTTTATTATAAATAAAATTATTCATTTGTTATGTCCTGTTGTTTTCAGCAGACAGTGTATTGATCTTCGGATTGCTCTTCAGAATGGCATATGGAGCTCTAATGTAAGGGGAAAACGGCCACGTTTGCAGATGGGTCGAATGTGTTGTGTAATGACAGAGACAAACCTTGCTTGCTGGCCATACTATATTATACAAATCATTTGTCAACTGTTTATTGAATCAGTTGTTAAAAAGAGCAGATTTTTCCAAGCGGGAGCATCGCACACAGAATGTTATCTGGGCCAAGCCACGTTAGGATAATGCATTGAGGACAGCCTTACAAAGTGTATTTGTGAAGAATTAGACTATATAACTTAAAGGACATTTCTGCTGACATATTAGAAACAAAAGTTTGGTACAAGGGAAATTGTGTTCTAAGGTCCAACTTCAATAGATAAAAAAGAAAAATCTGGCAAATGCCTTTTAACACAAAATTTTACC